ACTGGGAACACTGCATTCAAGGCCCAGTCACCAGGAAGCAGGAGGGACACAGGTGCTATCACCAGGTATGCGACACCCCCCAGCCTTCTTAAGACCCTTCACCGTCTTCTCTCATCACGGCCCAAAGCTGGGCACACAAGATGCCATCACACTTGGCCTATGACAGGGATGGAGTCAGCACCACAGGCTCCCTGCTCCCCAGAGCAGCGCTCGGGGCCATAGAACCACTGCTGCCAGCAGGGTCCACCTCCCAGACCAGTCCACCCCATCAAAGAGAAGGAGCCATGAAAACATTCCAGGCCAGGTCTGAGCAACAAGATCCCAACTGCATGCCCCACACCTAGAGTGCTCAGCAAAGCCAACAGGAAGGTGCTGCCTGGAAGATGGCAACAGGTCCCTGGTGGCAGGTGCTCCGCTGGGCCAGGCCCTAGGTGCCGGAACACACAAACCTCGAGCCTCATGGGGTTGGGGCTGCACACAGTGTGGGGTGGCCCCTCCATGATGCTGCTGGCCCATGCATATGCTAGTGTTCTCTAGTGAAGAACCATACAGTCCCCTCTTCTTCCACAATTGCTGTTACACACTGGTCAACTGCGGTCCACAGATACAAAATGTAAAGTGCCAGAAAGAAACAGCCTATGAGTCTCACACAACTTCAATTCATCATCCTGCTAGAACTGGTCACTTTATTATTACTTCTTACTCTGCCTCATTTATTTATCCATTTCTTTACTTATTTTGGTGCCAAGGATCAAATCCAGGGCTTGCACAAGGGAGTTACACTCCGCCCCCTACCCAGTGCCTCCTTCAAAAGTTAACCTTGAGCCAGGCATGGTGGTGCACACCTGTAATTCCAGCACTCAGGCGGCTGAGGCAGGAAGATTGCTGTGAGTTTGAGGTCAGCCTGGGCTACACAGTGAGTTCAACACCAGCCTTAACTACATAGTGAGACCCCGAATGAAAACACAAAACAAAAGGTAAAGTTGGTCACAGGCACAGTGGTATACAGAAAAGCAGAACATATCTAGGTTCAGTACTGTCTGGTTTCAGGCGCCCCAAGACTGGGGCTACACTGCTATTCTCTATAAGTGCCCCACCACAGACTTGGGGTGGTTCTGTCCACTGCATTTGTCTCCTTAGTTACTGGAGAAAGTGCGCTCTGGGATCCCTGAGCCCTGGGCAGAAAGTGCGCTCTGGAAGCCCTGGGCTGGTGGTGGACTTAGGCAAAAGCTTCACCCGGCTCTGGTCATAACTCTCCAGAGAGAGAAGGAATCTCCCAGCCAATCTCTTCCTCCTGTTCAACGTTTGCACACGATCTGCTCCAAGAGGTCCTTCCCCATCAGGCCAGAGAGATGGAGCCTGGATGAGCTGACAGGTCAGGGGCCGGTGGTGCAGACAACGGTCCGAGCCCAGGGAACGGCCTCCTCCTGGGGTCTGATTTTAGTCTCAGCAAGTATTTACTGAACACTGTGTTTGACAAAGTCAGGCTGCGAGGCTGTGTAGGTTGTGTGCACACAGACTCTCTCACATATATGCTCACACACGCGCACACACACACACACAAAGGATTGTGGGGGATGTGAAGACAAGAAAAGAACTGAATACTGCATGACCCTTGAAGCCCAAGGCACCCACATGGCACTGACCACCATGTAAAAGCCACTCCTGCTGAGCACACACATGGGTCCACTGGTATTTCCAGCTCCTGCATATCCCAGTGCTCAGACCTATATATAATTGCACATGACCTAGAGAAATGTGTGTACAGGCAAGCATAAACAAGGTGCCAGTGAGCGTGAATAAAGGCAGGTTAAGGGAACAGCTAAATCATCCTGTGTGTCTCTGGATAACAAACTTGTTAAACCAGAGCAAGTGCCCTGCCCGTGACCCTGACATTGGCCTCCATGCCATGCCTCCCACACCAGTGACACCTCCCTGAGGGTTCAGCCTGGTGCAGCGCAGGCTGCTCGGCAGCTGCAGAAGAGGGGCGTCCTGGGTGTGTTCCCAAGGGAATCATAGCACACTGCAGCAGCACCGGCGCTCTGAGTTCACAGTGGTGTGACTCATAGCAGCCAGCATACGGAGCCCACCCACAGGACAGGGAGGCAGAATGTGGCTTATACACAAAGGGGGCCTAGGCCATGAGAGGAACAAACCCTGACATCTGACAGACTATGGGAATGATCATCAGAAAGAGAGGTCAAGGGAGGGAGGGAGGGAAGAAGGGGGCCCAGGAAGAGGACCAGCGGACCAGGAAGAAAGGGAACAGGTGACAGGTGACCAAAGTATGCTATGTGCATGCACAAATATGCCCACAAGACCCACTGCTCTATGAAACCAAGCTGCACTTATATTTTTTAAAAAAGAGAACACAGCAGTGCACTGATGCCCTGATATGAAAGCTGTCCAAGAGATGGGCTGGACAGGAAAGATCCTGCAGAAAAGTACAACTTCCTTCCAAGCTCATGTGGGGTCCTATGAGCCAGATTCACATCTGTGGAATCAGAGATCTTGCTACAGGCTCAGATACACCTGGGAAGGACAAACGGAAGACAGCCATGAGCTGGAGGAAAGACAAGAGTCAAGACACTAAGGTTTTGTGAATCGAATATACCAACTCACAAATAAAGAAGGATGAGAAATTTAACTTAGAAGTCATGGATTACATATGTACTTGAACGCAGTACATAAGAATGTCCATGTGTACTTGACCACATATATAAGTATGTCCATGTGTGCACATGTGCACCCATTTCTGTATGTGCATGTGTCTATTTTATAATATGTCAAGACACTGTGACTGTGGATATATTTATGTGTGTAAGGACTGAAAATGCCAGAAGGGAACACCATCATTATTAGTGGTGGTCAAAGGGGTTCTGAAGGGGAAAGGGGTCTAAGAGAGTTTAACCTTTTACTGTCAATGCCTCTGTAAGATGTGATTCCTCCGTGACCACCTAGTGCCCTTGACACTGGACAAGGTGCAATGATTTTAAAGTCGCTCACACACAACCTATGCTGATGGCGTCTCAGATCCAGCACAGGTCTGTGGATAAACACTGTAAAGTTTTATTAACCTTCAGGGCCCTGGCCTGTGTGAGAGATGGAGACCAAAGTATGTTCACCAGCGATTTACACAGCGGCTTCCCTGACAAAGCTTGGAATCTGGCACTCAGGAGAGTGTGTGAAAGTGACCCAGACCCCTCGAGGCCACAGTGTCCCTGCCTGGACTTACCCGCAGCCCCCAGCGCCACTGGCTATGCCTCATCTATAAAAGTCATGAGAAGCAGTCTCCTAATTGTTTCCCTTCATGGTGAAATAATTCCAACATTCCCTTCCTTCCAAAGTGAGAGCAAGAGCTAAATTTAAATGAAATAACTTAATGAGGCATCTGCAATTCCAAGCAGCCAACAATCCATCAAAAAAACCCATTCCAAATATAGGAAAGATTCACACGTGCATATCCCTCCACTCGGCAGTTCTCACCCCAGAATGACCAAAATTTAAAACATCAAAAAAGTAATGAGCCCTTGAAATCATCTGCTCGTGATCCCTAGGAGAATGGAGTGACTCTGTGTGCAGTAAATGCACTTGGAAAACATGCGTGTGAATGGAACCCACACCCCTCGGTGGAGAGGCGCTTGCCTTACCGACACAGCGAGTCTTCTTACAGCATACAGGCAAATGCTTGTTACAGAGGAGACCCACTGACAATTTGCAACACTGTACTGAGAATGATGGAAATTAAGAGCTTTGGGACACACCCATGGATGCTGACTTTGCTCACTAAATGACGATTTGTAGCTCCATTGTGATGGGTACCAAGAGTTACCAAGTCAACATCTGGTCCAAACAGCTGGGAGCTTCATGTGCAGACCCTGTGTGCCTCCCTCCAGGGAAACAAATGTGTGAAATATAAACCAAAGGACTGGGCATGAACAAAGTGTATGGAATATATACTGCCTGAATCCATTCACTTTTCCATCACCACATCACATCAGCACATCAGCATCACCACCACCACCAGCACCACCACCTCCAGCATCACCATCACATCCACCAGCACCACCTCCAGCATCACCACTGTCACATCCATCCTCACCACTCCCCACCACCCCACGGGCCAGAATCTGAGTCTCAGAACAACTGGTGTCCATCAGAGGCACCCCAAGGCCACACTCGGCAGAGTATTGATGGTGTCACTGGTTCACCTTTCGCCTCCCAAGCACAGGGCAGATGAGCAGCCCTAGCAACGAGCGCTCACACAGTGGGGCCTTGTTTTCACATCCCACCCTACTTAGGAAGCCTCAGAGCAAGTCTCACACTCAGAAGTGACTTTTCTCTGAGCTCCAGGCCTGGCCACTACCTGCTGGCTTCAGTATGAACTGGCTGAGGGTCTCCTTCATTCTCATTCAGCTGTTCTTGCATTACAAGGCAGTGTCCCCACAACTCGGCCCCCACGCCGAGCCTCCAAGGCCATGCTATGCCCCTTGTTGGCTCCCTTTACCCTCCACCATGACAGGGTAGGTCCTTCCACTTGAGCACATCTGGGACCTCTCTCTCCATGACCTGCATCCCACAGCAGCTGGGGGCCAGCCACACAGACAGCTCCTATGGCTCCCACATTTCCTCCACCTCCAACCAGAATTGAGGGTGATCTTACTAAATCTATTACTACCAACTGCTACTGGCCCTAAGATTTAACATCCGTATCACAGCACAGACCATAGGTTCTGAAGAGGCAGCCCCATGCCGCTCTCCAACTTGGGCTCCAGGGTCCCAGCTCATGCACAGAGCACAGTCTGGCCTCAGGGCCTTTGCAGGCCACCCTGTGACAGGAGAGGCCAGCTCAGCTCTGTTCACCTTGCCCCTTTGCCCACCCCACCAACCCAGAGCAGGTGCCTGATAAACTTGCCCTGAATACAGTTGAACCCTGAAAGAACAGACACAGCCTGACAGACCCAGGCGCTGGGCCTTGGAAGGGACAAAAGACAGCTCACCACCAAGCTCTGCTGCTGTTTCCCAGTGTCAGGACCCAAAGAGGGTCTTCAGCAGGGTGGGTCTGGTCCAAGTGCCCCTGCACCTGTACCTCAGGAGCGCTGGGTCATTTCTGAGCTGCGGGAAAGAGCACATGGAGTCTCTATCAGGCAGAGCGGCCTAACGGGCTCCCTGCCCCTTCCATTCTCCACGCCCCAGAGGCGGGACAGGGACGACGCTATCTGTCCAGGCAGAGCTGAGTGACAGACCGGATATTTCATGCACAGTCCTCCCCGCTGAGCACTTTCTCTCCTTCACCCCAATTTCCTGGTGGAGAACAAAGGGAATCTGTGTGCGGCCCCTGCCACACACATACACGATGTCTTGGCCTTCAGCACTGTCAGGAGAGGCACACTTGGGACCCAGTCACCCAAATCCAGCTGATGACATCCAGGGCTGCACTGCGAACACAAGTCACCAGTCCTCCTGACTGCGCACACAAGACTAAGTCATAAAAATCAATATAACTAACAAAAACCATCAGCTTGCTGAATGTAGCAGAGGCCAGGGAAATTCCCATCTTGCCACGGAATATTTGAAAGCAGAACTTTCTGTATAGCCTCAGACCTTCAAGCTGATGGCAACAATCAAATTGGAAACAAAAAAAATCACATTGTTTGACTATTTTTGCTAAAATGAGCTTTTTAACTGTACAATTACAGAGTAAGACCATGGATGGCGCAGCCCTGGGTCAATCAGAAATCCAGCTGTGTCCTGGGAGTAAATGAAGCACCTGGGTAGAAGGAGGGGCAGGCCAGGCTGGCTTCGTCCTGGAACTTGGAACCAAAACCAGTCTGCACAGCCCAGATTTGTTTTATTCTGATTAACGGACATTGGCCAAGCACCTCCAAGTTTCCGAAAGTCCTCAGACCGGAGGGTAAATAAGATCACGTCCACCCAGGGCATAGTGTCTGGCTGGGAAGGCTGGAACACGCATGCATAATTTTAACCCAAGCTGGAGTCTAATGAGATTTCAAAGGGTGTGCGAGGAGATGAGGGGAAGATGTCTAGACAGAGATGAAGGATGCTTCCCGACAGATTTAATGACAGCGCTCAGGAGGCAGAAGGGGCAGGCAGAGGTCACCACAGCCAAAGTCACCTTTGGACAGGGGGATTCAGGCCCACCTGCCCATGCCCCCCAAGTCACACTGGGCAATACCTCGACCCCACAGCAGCCTCATACCAGGCAGGAGCCTGGAAATACCACATGGACAGCAAACTAACACAGAGAAAACGTAGCCAGAACTGTGGGCTGGACTTGGAAAGTGAGATTTGCTCCTTTAGGGACAAGGGGCTTCTCCAAACGTCCTCAGGGCCAGCACACAAACAGCTCCCCCACCTGTGCTCAGCCCCAAGGAGTGGATGGAACTGGTAGATGCTGGACCAAGAAGTCGAGTCCAGTGCCATTCCTGGCCAGGTCTCCTGTCCTGCGTTGCCTCCTCTATGTTCCAGACTAGAAAAGACCCTTGCCCACCTAATCCCCATGGGAGATGTTGACCAAGGCAGAGGGGCCTCCGGCTCCTCAAAGTTTACTTTGAATAAGTCCTTTTCCTTTTTACCAAAATAAATGTTTTCCTTTGGTTTGGTCAGTGGCAAGCAAAGGACCCTGAGCAGAAGGACCTAAGTGGCTGGTAACACAACAACCTGCGTCACTGGCCAGTAAGAGCTCACACATGAGGGGGCTGGGGATTTAGCTCAGCGGCAAAGCACCTGCCTGGCAAGTGCAAGGCCGTGAGTTCAATTCCTGGTACTGGAAGAAAAACAAAAAACAAAACAAAACAAGAGCTCACAATCCTGGGGCTCCCTCAGTTCCAGAGGCCAAGCCCACCTCACGCCCCCTCCCCAACATTCAGTACTTCACTCCAAAATCAGGCAACCTAGGAGGACTCACCTCATTAAAATGCAAACTTCAAAGAACATAGAAATAAAACTCAGAAGAAAGATCGTGCAAGTGACCAAAATTAAGTTTAAAAAGAAACCAAATTTAACAGAGACCCTCGGAAAGCAGCCATAGATCAAGACAAGATGCTATCAAAAGGGGAATGAAAGGCAAAAACAATTCTTATAAATGAAAAAGATGGTTGTTAAGATGCAATTTTAGGTCAGAAGTGGTAGTGCACACCTGTTATCCAAGCACTTGGGAGGCTGAGGCAGGAGAGTTCAATGCCAGCCTGGACCACAAAGCTAGACCCTGTCTCAAAAAGAAAGAAAGGAAGGAAGGAAGGAAGGAAGGAAGGAAGGAAGGAAGGGAGGAAGGAAGGGAGGAAGGGGAGGAGGGAAGGAGGAAGGAAGGAAGGAAGGAGAGGTGATTTTTCTAAAAGCAATTTTGGGGGCTGGAGATAGAGCTCAGTGCCTGCTTGGCAAGTGCAAGGTCCTGAGTTTGACTTCCGGTATCAAAAATAAATAAATAAATAAAAATAATAAAAAGCAATTTTAGATGGTAGTTTAGGTAAAATTGAGAAAAGCTTCCAAAGTGACAAAAAAACTTTTAAAGCTATAAAACTCATTCCAAAACATTCAACTATTACTCATAAGATTTTCATGAAGAAAAAAGTGTAGAAAAAGAAATTATCAGTAAAATGTAATAACATTTTCTAGATGAAAGCAGCTCTAGATTCAAAGTGCTCTGGGAATGCATGAAAAGCAACCTGTACACCCAAGAGCAGTGGGAGAAACAAGAGGACAGACAGTAAAGGGAGACCAGAGACGCGTCCCAGGGTCACAAAAGAGGGACAACAGTGAGTCAGGTGGCCCATTTCTCGGCCACAGTCCTGGAGGCCTCTCCCAGACTGTCCCTAATTCCGACTGAGTATCACTTCCCAGCCTAAGATTCTACGCCCAAGTGCGCTGTCTTGGTTACTTTTCTCTCGTTACTGAGACAAAATACCCAACGCCCAAAATGAAGGAAGGAAAGGTTTATTTAACTTACAGTTTGTGGAGGTTTCAGTCCATACTTGGCTGGCTCCGAGGCAGAAGATAGCAAAGCAACAAGAGCAAAGCGGGGAAACGGCAGCCGAACAGCAAAGCAGCCAGAGCAAAAGGGAGGAATGGCGGCAAGCAGCCTCTTTCCCTCCCTTACATTGTAAACAGGCTATCCCCACCTAAGGGGCGTGCAGCTCTCACATAATCTCCACGCCCTCCTCTTCCACAGGCTCAGGATGTATACAAAGCAAGCACCCTGGCTTCCTGCTGAGTCCCTTTGCCAAACCTCTAGACTCCCCAAGTTGACACAATGTATCAACCATAACAGTGCTGTCAGCCAAGTGTGAGCACCAAGCAAGGTGCCGCCTCTGTCCCGGGCCCAGAAGTTCCCCTGCAGTCAGCCTTTCTCAGGAAGTGAGTAGAAGATGTGCTGCATCCCAGCAAGCAGAGAAATAAAAAACCACGGAAAGCCGTTGAGTCTCAGCAACTCTGGATCCTGCCTAAACTACAGATATTACCTAACTGGGAAGGAGGAGGGCTCCGAGATGAGAGGGAGCCTCACAGCTGGGGAGCAACGAGCGTGGACCAGGAAGGTGAAAGGTTTGGAAGTCAAGGATCCAGGGAAGAGTGAGGAAATCTGATATTACGAAGGAGGAAAAGAACTGCTAAGGTGTGGACTGCAGATGGAGCAACTGAGCACGGGGCACCGCGTAATGGTAAGAAAACTAAAAAGCTGTACCAGGAGAAATGCAGTCCCTCTGGATATCTGGCGCTACAGCTAGTGATCCATGCGTAATCCCTGGGCATTAACCCCGGCCTCTACCAAAGCAGCAACCCTGCACCACCGCACAGGTGCAGGGAGAGGAGTCGGAGGTCACTAAGTCTTCATCTACACCTGGGCTTCTCCACTGCTCATTCTGACACACTGGGCCAGTAGTCAATTCTTTGTCAGTATGACTGCCCTGCGTGTCATCAGATGTCACAGCAACCACATGCCATTAATGCCTATCCTCCCCCGAGAACAAACAAAACTGCTTCCCACCATGACATGTCTTCCCCTGGAAGACAAAACTGCCCCTAGAGGTTTTTCTCTACCATAACCAGAAGTGCTACTTTTGACTTAGGAAATTTGGCAAATCAAAAATAACAGGGTAGGTGTATTTTTAGAATCATTTAGGAAACTTCAAGAAAAAAACCACCAAAAGCATTGCAAGTGAGCTAGGGAGAAAGAAGTCAGGGCAGGAGATGGCTAGTTTTTACTATACACCTTTACACACTATTGATTTTTTTTTTTTCCAGTACTGGCAATCAAACTCATGACCTCGTGCTTGCCAGGCAGGCGCTGTGCCGCTGAGCTAAATCCCCCACACACTGCTGATTTTTAAAATCTTGTGCATGCACTTTCAAGTTAAATATTGTTGGAGCACTCAAAGGTGTGGCTAGGAACTCGCTGACAGCTTCATGTACAAGTCTTGTCTCAGAGGAAATCTTTTTTTTTTTTTTTTTTTTTTTCCGGTACCGGGAACCGAACTCACGACCTTGCGCATGCCAGGCAGGCGCTTTTGCCGCTGAGCTAAATCCCCAGCTCCTCAGAGGAAATCTTATACTATGACAGTAACTCGCTCGGTACTCATGCCTTTCCTCTCAACTATGTGGAACAAGTAGCTATGTATAACAGCCTTTCTTAAAAATCAACAAATCTCGGGATGTAACAGCACTGGCCCACCTGCCCACAGGTAAGCCAGGAGGAGCCCCGCGGGCAGCAGGGCTCTGCACAGAATGAGGGGCCAAATAAAGGATTCAGAAGTTGTCTCCAGCCAGCCCTGGCTGCACAGGCACTTTGCTGTGTGTGCTGACTTCCTCCCTGGGACATGACCACCAGAGTCCTTCCTCCAGCCACTGCCCCTCTTTCACTCCTTGAAGGAACCATGCTTCCTCAGAAACACAACTGAGAATGACGTAAGAAGTAAATTATAGGAACTCACAATAATCTGCAAGTTATGTAAATCTTTCCTTATTCTAAAAGGTAAGTGCCTAGGTTCTCGGTGCCTTTGGCAAATCTCCTCAGCCTCTGGGCACAGAACCCTGACCAACTGCGCTTCCTGATCTGTCACCTCCCACGGGGGTCACTGGTCCTCTCGCGACTCTGCACACAC